TCTTTCCCATCCCTTCCACATAAAGGATGCCTCCCATGACATCAGACTACTTACTAATGTCACTTCCACAAATGACCTCGATTTTAGAGATGTGGCACCAAGTATTTGGAAAGTTGAGATTAGAATAAAGGGCACGAAAGTGTGGTATTCAGGCGACTTTTAAAATCTTTCCCACAATCTATGTGGTAACATGGGCATGTTTAGTGGGTGCTGTTTTCATTTTTATCTGGGAAATGTGAGGTCTGGGAAGGAGAGCACATTTATTTGTAATAATTACGTGCTTACTTGAGGCTATTTAGATTATTTTAGGTTATTTAAAAATATTACATCAGAAGTATAGGTTGAAACAACTCAGGAATTTTGAGGGGAAGCTGGACCCAAAAATATTTGAACTAAATAGATGTTTGCTGATGAAAGTGCAGAATCTGGACATGATCTGGTCCCTGAGCCTTTCAGGCCCCCGGGCGGGCGGGGGGAGGGAGGGCGGGGGGGGGGGGGAGGCGGGGAGCAGGGCGGCCTTTGCTGTCACTGCAGATGATCTTTGCCGTTAGTCTCTGGCCCATTTCCAGGTTATGGTGCCAGGAGGGAGGAGAGGGGTGCTAAGGGCCCTCTACAGCATGGGGACCAGGTGCCACACTTCCAGGCTGTAGTCAGAGAAAATAGCGCATTTTCAAAATAGTTTTCCTCTTCTGATTGTAAATATAATGTAATATTATTGGAAAGTGGATAATAAAGAAAATCTCAAAAAGCAAATATTTATACTTTGTGTTAATAAACTTGGTTGCATGTATAGTCATATATGTTACACAGCATATCCTATATAATAAAACCCTAATATGCAAGTCGACCAAATGGTGGAATAACTGGTCGCTATGATGCGCACTAACCACCAGGGACCAGACGCTCAACGCAGGAGCTGCCCCCTGGTGGTCAGTGCGCTCCCACAGGGGGAGCGTCGCTCAGCCAGAAGCCAGAAGCCGGGCTCATGGCTAGCAAGCACACCAGTGGTGGCAGGAGCCTCTCTTGCTGCTGTGGCAGCACTAAGCCATCAGATATCCCCCATCCCCCTGGACTGGGAGAGGGCGCAGGCCAGGCTGAGGGACCCCCCCCCCCCCCCGCCCCAAGTGCACGATTTTGTGCACCAGGCCTCTAGTTTTCTTATAAAGACATTTAGAAAATTCCGCCTTTGAAAACGCTGAGAAAAGTGAAACATCCACGTCAGCACACAAATTCCGACAGGATTGTAATCTGTAAAATGAAAAACAAACATGTCTCCTTGTACCCACAGCCCACAGTTCAGCCCTCAGTGAAGTACCTTTTTAACACTTTTTTCTTTTCTTTTCTCATCTTTCCAGTTGTTACCTCCATAATTTAAAGAGAAGTGTGTCTATTGTTATTTTTTCTTTATCAACTTTAGCCACATCCATTGCTTTGCAGCTCTGAAATCAGAGAACTTGGTCTTTCTTAGACCCTCGCTTCCCCCTGCCTTTCAGTGACTGCTAATTTAATGCTGTAGTTCTTCTGTTAGTGATCTTACCATTTTAAATGAAGTACTTAAGTCTCTTTCTCGAACTATCAAATTTGAATTTGTTATAATTTTCTTAGGAAATTGGCCTCCCAGACCTATCTTCATCTCTCCTCTGTGCCCTCTGTTCTCTTCCCCTAACGTCCTTGTTATTCCATTCCATTTTCCTTGCCATAATTTGTAACATTTACATTTTATTTTGTTATTTTAATCGTCTTTAATATTTGTTTCTGTCTGAGAGTAAAAAAAGACAGGTATTATTGATGGTTAATTTTGATCATGTTATTTTTGGGGGTCAGATACACAGTGGAAGTCTCAGGGTTATTTTTCTATTGAACCTTCCTGTTGTTACACTTTCTTGACTGTCAGTGGCTTTTAGTTCACCTCTTTTGATTCCTTCTTTGCATTACTTGAGTCAGTGCTGACATGAACCTGTCTTTATTTTTGTCCTCAGCTACTAGACTGGATTTATGGAATTCTAAATTCAAACAGTTTTCCTTCAGACTTTTGGAAGCATGGCTCCATGGGCTTCTAGAACCCAGTTTTTCTGCTATCAGCCACTCTGACTGCCATTCACTTGTTAGGATACGCCATCCTTTGGTTTAGCCTTGGAATTTGGCCCAACTCCGCAGTCACATTTTGGTCTTAGCAACTGCAGTAGGTGAGAGGCTTCAGTGTCGTTTCTGGCATCCCGTATACAAGCAAGGCATGCTAATATCTAGGTCCTTACTTTCAAATACAGGTAAGCATGTTAGGTCTAACTTTTAGTAAGAAAAAAAGTCCTTGCATTTTGAAATTCTATCCATTGAAACATAAATGAGCAATTATTATTATAACACTAAAATGGCACACTAGTGATTGACAGTGGTGGTAAGAATATCAGTTTTATAGGTCAAAAGCAATTATTAAAAACTCAAATATTTCAATAAAAAGGAGAATACAATGAGAGTTAATATGACTATTCAGGGAGGGTGTGTGAGCTGGAAACTCCCAGCCCGGTCTCCCCCACCACAGGGAGCCTTCTTCGCCTGGCTTCTCTCCCTCCCTCCGCCCCGGCTCCTCCCTCCTTCTGCCTGGCCTCTCTCTCCCCGTGCTGTGTTCTGGAAACTCCTCGCGCTCTCAGCTGGATCAATTCTAAGGCTCACCTCATTGGCTTCCCATCTCTCAAGGACCATTGTTCTTTGTTGTGTCGGTGTCTTGAAAAACGTTTTCTATGTTTTGTCTGGTGTTTTGGGTGTTTCAAGCAGAAGGATAAATGTGGTCCCTGGAATTCCATCTTGACCAGAGGTGAAGATACTATAAACTTAAATTCTTACATGAAGGAAAATCTCCAAAGCACGCAGAATAGTGCCCATGGCAATTTGACTTCAAGATCTAGACATAATAGAGGGGAAAAAAAGAATGCGGTGAAAAGAAAAATAAAAGTAGAGAAAAACAAGGAACTTTAACACATGTGTTCTCACTGTACTTCAAAACTACATTAAAGAATGCTTTAAGAAGCGATTCCTGATTTTTTGAGTCTGTGGACATGGTTATGAGTTAAATTGTGTCTCTCCCAAAAGATACTTTGCATCCTAACCCAGTTCCTCAGAATGCGACCTTATTTTAAAATTGCATGTTGGAGATGTCATTAGTTACGGTGATGTCATACGGCTATAGGGTGAGCCCTTAGTCCCTTAGGACCGGTGTCCTTATAAGAAGATGATGTAAAAAAGAAAGAACTCTTACCATTTGCAACAGCATGGATGGGCCTGGAGAGTATTACGCTAAGTGAAATAAGCCAGTCAGAGAAAGACAAGTATCACATGATGTCACTCATTTGTAGAATCTAATGAACAAAATAAACTGATGAACAAAAATAGATCCAGAGACATAGAAGCATGGAACAGACTGTGGAACCTCAGAGGGAAGGCAGGGGAGGTGGGTGGGTGGGAAAAGATCAACCAAAGAACTTGTGTGCATATATGCATAACCCATTGACACGGACAATAGGGTGGAGAAGGCCTGGGTGGGGGGAGGGCTGAAGGGGGTCAAAGGGGAAAAGAGGGGGACATATATAATACTTTCAACAATAAAGATGAAGATAAAACGAAGACAATGTGAAAATACAGAGACACATGAGGGGAGAATGCCATGGGAAACAGAGGCAGAGATTGGAGGGACAGATCTGCTAGCCAAGGAGTGCCAAGGGGGACGGCCACCACCAGGCGCTCAGAAGAGGGGAGGGTGGGATCTGCCCGGACACCCAGAGAGAGCGCTCCCGCCAGCACCTTGTCTCAGATTTCCACCCCCAACTGTAGAGACAATAGCCGTGTTGTTTTAGGTCTCCTAGTCTGTGGTCCTTTGTGATGGCAGCCCTGTGAATCTCATATAGAGGCTATGCATTTTTTTAAAAAGTTATTGAAATGATTGTTATCGTTTGCTAACCATTTTAAAAAAATATATTTTATTGATTTTTTTTTACAGAGAGGAAGGGAGAGGAATAGTTAGAAACATCGATGAGAGAGAAACATCGATCAGCTGCCTCCTGCACCCCACTACTAGGGATGTGCCCACAACCAAGGTACATGCCTTTGACCGGAATCAAACCTGGGATCCTTCAGTCCGCAGGCTGACGCTCTATCCACTGAGCCAAACCGGTTAGTGCTGCTAACCATTTTTAAGTATTTGAAAATAAAAAAATAATAGTACATTCTAGGTATAAAATTTATTCTAGAAAACATGATACTCAAACAGTCTTCTTAACTGTATATATTTTTGCATACAAAAGCCTAGGGATATACCCTAACCGGTTTGGCTCAGTGGATAGAGCATCAGCCTGTGGACTCAAGGGTCCCAGGTTCAATTCCAGTCAAGGGTATGTACCTGGGTTGTGGGCACATCCCCAGTGGGGAGTGTGCAGGAGGCAACTGATCGATGTTTCTCTCTCATGGGTGTTTCTAGCTCTCTATCCTTCTCCCTTCCTCTCTGTAAAAAACCAATAAAATATATTTTTTAAAAAAGACTAGGGATGTTATTCAGAGTGCCAGTTGAAGGGAATGTCAACTTAATACCCCAAATGGTGTGATGACAGCAGGAGCGAGTTCAGAGCTGACAGTTCCAAAAACTGTTTCTCTGGCCTTATTAAAATTTGACTAATAAAATGTTTAAAAATTAAACAGTTTTAAATAAAATTTCAGATGTATCCTTGCATCCCTCATGTTCATTAAATGATGATGATTTTTAACTCTGGCTTGATTTTTATTCTTGGTCTTCGGTAAATTTCATTTCATTTTTACCGAAACATGTACTCAGAGTGCCCCCACCTTGAAGGCCACCTGCTGGCTCTGCCTGGAATCTTCCCTGCTGTCAGGGCTGTGGCTGCATCATCAGGCCCTCACTCCGGCTTCAGGTGGGCAGTGGGGAGCACAGGCCGCCCCCCGGAGGGGAGGCCGGTGTGATTGGGGTACTTATTCCTTTACTTCCCTTCCTGTAGACGCTTCTTGGGCTGCCTGATGATTGGCCAGTTGTCATTGCTCTTCTCAAGGTGAGCTTCTCAACACGACTCTCCGATTTCAAGGTCAGAAAACCCAAGATCTGAGGCCTCACCCCTTCTCTGGTCCCTTCCAGACACGGGTGGGAACATCCCCACTGGCACTAGTCCTAGGGGACTACGCTGTGGTTTCCCCATGCTTTTTTTTTTTTTTTTAACAGTCCCTTAAGAAAACCCTCCTGGGATTATCCTAATTTGACTTTTTGCTATTGATTTCCTGCCAGGATTCTGACTGGCACAGACCAGGTGGTAAAACTCATTTTCAGCCTGGGTGGTGTGGCTCAGTGGTTGAGCATCGACCTACGAGGTCACGGTTTGATTCCCAGTCAGGGCACACGCCCGGGTTGCAGGCTAGATCCCCAGTATGGGCCTGCAGGAGGCAGCCAATCAGTGTTTCTCTCTAGTCATTAATGGTTCTCTCTCCCCATCTCCATTCCTCTCTGAAATTAATAAAAATATATATTTTTAAAAGACTCGCTTCCAGTGTTGCAAAACAGCATGTTCCTGTTCAACCAAAGACCCACGATGAGATGTGGAGCCTCAGAACCCAACATCCAAGTCCATTCAAAGCTTCAAAGACATTTCAGGGTAAAACTATCTTTTAAAAAATGTTATTGAATGTATTGGGATGGGATGACATTGGTTAATAGAATTATATAGGTTTCAGGTATACAATTCTATAACACGTCATCTATATGTTGTATTGTGTGTTTTCCATCACTATTTATCCCCCCGGAGAAAAACTATTTTTTAAAAAAGTCTACTCCTGATTTTCAAGTTACTATTAACAAATGTTTTCCTAATAAATAAAAAAAAGCCAAGTTATGCAGAGAATTCATTTCACTTTTCAATCCCCTCCCTGCCCCCTCACACCCCCCAGATGATACTCGCCTTCTGTCATTACACATATGGGCCTGTCTTCTGAACACTTAGCGGAGCGCATCCTCTCGCAAGGAGTCGCAAATGACTTCCTTGCTTCGGAGCATGAATGCAGGTTGCCACCTGGCCGTGCTCTCTGTGTTCCCGGTATTTTTAGTAATGCGCCCATACCTCGCTCAGTCTGGCTGCAGCTTGGCACCCTGTGTTCAAAGCTGTCATCGGAACGCTGCACCCTGCTTAAACCTACGGGGCTGTTTTCTTTTAAAACCCCTCATTAATATCTGTTTCTTAATGTGACATGTACTGCTAACATGTGGGGGTTATTCTGGTATGACTTCCAAAGTCATAAGCAACTCTTCCTGGGAGCACTGCCCAGACTTTTAGAGATCGGTGTGCTTTATTCCATCCACGCGGCGCGGTCTAGAGCACGGTGCTGACTTGTTGTGCGGGAAGGTCATTATTCCCTCCCGTACCCCCTCCACTGAGTGGGGTGGTTCCATCTAAAGCAAAGAGGATTTCCATGGGAAGAGACTACAATGGGGAATTTATTTCCCTTACTGGTGATTCAAGGTCACAGAATGTGAGTGCTTTAGGGGTCTGCGCAATAACCCAATTAAAGAGTTCTAATCATAGATGAAGAAACCAAGGGAGCCTGGCCCGGCGTGGCTCGGTGGTTGAGCGCTGACCTGTGAACCAGGAGGTCACGGTTCGATTCCCGGTCAGGGCACATGCCCTCGTTGTGGGCTCAATCCCTGGTGTGGGGTGAGCAGGAGGCAGCCAATCAGTGATTCTCTCTCATCATTGATGTTTCTGTCTCTCTCTCCCTCTCCCTTCCTCTCTGAAATCAATAAAAATAAAAAGAAACCGAGGGAGGCCAGAGTCCTCGCTAAAGGGTGCATAACAACTAGTTACTAGAAGAACTAGAACTAGAACCAAGGTCTCACGATTCTTGATCTAGTGCAGCGGTTCTCAACCTGTGGGTCGCGACCTCTTTGGGGGTCAAACGACCTTTTCACCGGGGTCGCCTAAGACCATCGGAAAACACATGTATAATTACGTATTGTTTTTGTGATGAATCACTATGCTTTAATTATTATGTTCAATTTGTAACAATGAAATTGGGGGTCACCACAACATGAGGAACTGTATTAAAGGGTCGCGGCATCAGGAAGGTTGAGAACCACTGGAGTGCTTTCTGTACTACACTATACTTTCTTTTGAAGAAAAAACTTATACAGTCCATTCTCATGAATTTGCAACATTTATGTTCTCTGAGGTCCCTGGGAAAGCTGGATTAGCAACTATTGAACCACTCCTCCTCCTGGGGGAACGCAGGGTTAGGGTCCTGTGAGCCGCTGGCCCCAGCATTTTTGTCAACCAGTCAAAATAGAACCTTGTTCTCTGTGTTCCTGTTTGAAAATATTCTATGCGATGTCCATTGTTGGTTCATTAACATTGAACGCACGGCCAACAGAACTACAGCTCCTGCCTGAGGAAGCTTATCTAACACCGAGCTTTCTCCACAAGCACCTCACAGCCTCCTTTCTCCGAGGAACACCAGCCAGCACCGCAGCACTGCCCTGGAGGGACATTTTCAGCAGGGACCTCGCCCACAAAAAGCACAAAGATGTGGGAAACGTGGCGCTACATGGGCCGTGGGAAGGAAGCTTGCTCACACAGTGTCAGCCCTGAACCAGGAGGCAGCGTGGCCTCGTTCTCCTGAGCTGGGGATGTGCGCGTTGGGCTGTTCATAGTTCCACCCCTTTGCACTTCTCGGGGCTGCCATGCGTATTGATTTCAGGGTCTCAACTACATTTTAGTGAGTAGGTGAATTTGAAAATGTGAAATCCACAAATAATGAGGATCAGCTGATACATGGAAAAGCCGATTAATGAATCGGAATAGGACAGACTAAGAGCACAGAAAAGGTATTGCTACAACATTGAAGCATTTTATTGTAGGAACCAATAGGATTAACCCGTAAGTAACATCTGTACTTAACAATTTTTTTGTTCTATGTCCTTTATTCTTGTTCAGGTGTCTTCTCTTCATGACAACCTGTCTGCTTCCCTTCTCACTTTCCTCTCCCTTTCACGGAAATGCTCTTGCTGGATTTCCGACTCCCTCCATTTTGCCTAATCCAGGGTCCAATGCACAGCTTTCATCTTCCATCGCCTCTGACACCACTGGGCCACTGGAAACATCTGCCTGTCTCTCCCTGGAGTATACCGTGCTCTCCTGGCCCTCTCCTACGGCACCAGCACCCGTTCTCTGTCTCCCTGAGAGACATCCCTCTGCTCACCCCAGTCTCTAAATATGAGAGTGCCCACGGCTGCACCCTTTGCTCTGTCCTCCGTATCACTCTCTACCAGCACGTAACTTTAGCAAGGAAGCAGGATATAAGGTCAGTGTGCAAACATAAAATATAGTCATGAGTTCCAGAACTAAGCAACTGGCAATTGCAATTAAAATAATATCACTTGTAGTGGTATCGAAGCCATGAAATTCATAAACGTGTATTTAGAAGCCACTTGAAACTTAACATGGCAAAACCCTTGGTTTTCACTCACTTCCCCCAGTGCTATCTCAGTCCATAGTAGTTAACATTTGCCCAGTTGTCCAGACCGAAGCTCTAGAACAGTGGTTCTCAACCTTCCTAATGCCGCGACCCTGTAATACAGTTCCTCATGTTGTGGTGACCCCCGATTTCATTGTTACAAATGGAACATAATTAAAGCATAGTGATAATCACGAAAACAATATGTAGTTATATATGTGTTTTCTGATGGTCCTAGGCGACCCCTGTGAAAGGGTCGTTCGATCCCCAAAGGGGTTGCGACCCACAGGTTGAGAACCGCTGCTCTAGAATATAGTCTACATTTCCCCCCTCCTCACCTCACATCCAGCCACTCAAGAATTCTGGTGCTGCTTTTTAAATCTATCTTGAACCCTGCTACTTTCATCACCTTTCCTAGGGCAACCAATGACCATCTCCCTGTCCTGATCCTCTAACTGGGTTCCGTGCTTCCATTTGTTGTTTCTGTGGCCATGGCCTCCCAGGCAGTCACCTGAGCAGGGTGTCCCAGCAGAACAGTCCACCTCCTGATGGAAATGGAAGCCCTCCCAGGCACCTGAGTTCTCTGTGGCCAGGGGCGGTGGGAGGCAGTAGGGTGGGTGGCGGTAGTCATCTTCATCAGCCGGATTGTTTTAATCTTCATTTTATGGCAATTTTTGCTTAAATATCTGCCTTTCATTGGATAGGGATGGGGATTTGGGTGGTTTGCAAGATTCCCAGTTCAAGAGCTCCCTCTGCTGTCAGTGTAGCAAAGTATGGATTTTTTTTTTTAACTGGTTGGCTCTGTGTTGTTTCTGTGTGTGAATTTATCTCTGTGTGTGTTGACGGCATTGTTGGGAGGAAGGCTTGTGCATGCTTTGATTTTTAAAAAATTCTTTTGTCTTTAAGGATCCTAACTTGCTCACTCTTGCCTGCCCCTCCTCCCCCCTCTTCACTGCAGCTTTCTATAGGCCCTTCTCCCTTCCTATTTACCCCACCCCCACCCCATACACGACTTTTCTGGAAATACTTGCTTTGCCAAGATGTTGCCTCGAGCTCTTCACATACGTGTTAAGTCTCTTCCCTGATTCTGCTCCGATCTACCAGGACTCCTTTCGGGCGTTGTTGCATGCAGAGCGGACTTTCTCTCTCTGATTCTAGGTCAGTCCAGGGCCTTTGCCTCTTCTCTCTTCCCTGCGGTCTTCCCCAGACTGCCCTTCTCCCTGGAGACTCAGAGCAGCAGGAGCAGGAAGGTAGCGTGCTAGTTTTCCAAGTGTGTTTCTATTTAGCAACAAAAGGAAGAGTTTCCATCCGTAGGTGTCTGCAGAGTATAAGTACTCACACTGTTAACTTCTGCTCAACAGCCCTGTGAAATAGGCAGAATGGGTTATCCCATTTTATAGATGAATAGACGGAGGTTCAGGAAGGTGTGCTATTGCTTGCGGTCACCTGGTTAATAAATATTGGAGCCAGGTCTAGATGCCATCTCCTTCGAACCAGCCTTACTGTTTGTATGATCTATTCTTATCTGTGCAGACATTTTTGAAGTTATAGACTTCCTCAGATGAAGATGACCAAGTCTTCTCGCAACACTTTCTCAAAGGTTTAAGGTTTGCCACTTAATGCACGTATCACAGTGTAGATGCTCAAAGAGCTGGAAAAACATTTGCTGTGGAGAGTAAAACGCATATGCTGTTGGTAAACTAAGCCATTTTCAGGTAGGTTAATGCCAATGGCTCCACAAATCTAATGCGTCTTTGTTTGTTTTATTATCGTATCATCTAGATTCATCAATTGGCAAGTATTAATTTGATGATAGCAGTGGTTCCCCAAAGAGGTCTACGTGCACATGTACTGGTCATTGGCAGATGAATGCACACAAACTCAAGCTGCTTTACTGTTGCTTTGTAAATGAAGACCACTTCATTTTCACATGCTGATGCTTGAAGTTGATGGCATCTTATCTGGTGTGTCTAACAGAAGCAGCACCACACAGCCCCACCGGCCCCAACACATTGGACTTCTGTTAAAGCATTCTGCTGTGTTTCCTTAAACAACCTCAGGATCTACAACAAGCAACGGCTTGGTTCTGAACAGAAACCCTCAGCTACTGAGGACGACGTCTTTTTGCCAATAGTTGCTATCTTGTTTATAAGGAAAATGCAGCCATTTTCTTCACTGTGTACACAAGCCCTGTAGAGCTGTTTGTTTGGTTTTCAGCAGAGACAATACAAAAATAAATTAGACTTCGATTGGGTTTAGGTAAGCAATCTTTTGAGCCACAGCTGTATTACTAACTGATCCATAATTGCTCTGCATTTATGAGGCACATAGTTTATCCCTTTGCTTGCCACACAATAGGCCGCGCAAGTTAAAGAGCTCCAAGTTTCAAGGACTGGCGTTTTGGGTGCCTGCCAGGACCGATCTGTTTAGCAAACAAGCTGGAGGGTGCTTATTAGTAGGTTGTGGCTTGCAGACCATGAAGCCCCTGGGGCCAGAGGCACTGATCAAATGGTGGATCTACACACCAGTGAGGCCACTGGATGAAAAGGAGAACAGCCCCGCATTGCTAAATGTGCTTCTCCTAGGCCTTAATTACGCACGGTAAACGACTTCTTTTGTAACTCTTTCTGTGGGCCCAGAAGACAGGCTATTAAAGATTAACCTAGGAACTATTTTTCAAATTAAAACGTAGACAATTCCGATGAGTTACAGCTCTATTATTCATATGACAAGAACGAGCCCTGGTTAGCCTGGGAAAGTGAAGAGTCATATTTCTCGTGGAACAAAATACATCTTATTTTCTCCAGTTGCATTTCTTTTCTTTTTTTTTTTTTTTTTTTTTTAAATTGCTAGTCTTCTCTGCCCCCTGCCTAGATTTTTGTTTCTATGGAGTGACTCAAGGTGGCTTGAGGCTTTCAAATTAATGCCTGGTAGAGTGTCACTGAGGCCTTAGAACAGTGATTCCCAACCTTCCTAATGCTGCGACCCTTTAATACAGTTCCTCATGTTGTGGTGACCCCCAATTTCATTGTTACAAATTGAACATAATTAAAGCATAGTGATTAATCACAAAAACAATATGTAATTATATATGTGTTTTCCGATGGTCTTAGGTGACCCCTTGTGAAAGGGTCATTCGACTGCCAAAGGGGTCGCAGCCCACAGGTTGAGAACCGCTTCCTTAGAAGAATGAAGCGAGCCTGATCTACGTTACATCAAAAAAAAAATAAATCATCTGGATAAAATGTCATCTTTTTTTTTTAAAATATATTTTATTGATTTTTTACAGAGAGGATGGGAGAGGGATAGAGAGTTAGAAACATCGATGAGAGAGAAACATCAATCAGCTGCCTCCTGCACACTCCCCACTGGGGATGTGCCCACAACCAAGGTACATGCCCTTGACCGGAATCGAACCTGGGACCTCTCAGTCCACAGGCCGACGCTCTATTCAATGAGCCAAACTGGTCAGGGCAAAATGTCATCTTTTGCTATTCTTGGTCTCACACATTTTATTCTTCTGCCCTCACTACTTTGGTGTAGATTTTAAGGGAATAGTATAGACTGTACTTCACAGGTGTTGTTATATTTCAACTAGAGGCTTGGTGCATGAATTTGTGCACCAGTGGGGTCCCTTAGCCTGGCCTGTGAGATTGGGCCGAAACCGGCTCTCTGACATCCCCCAAGAGGGTGCAGGCCAGGCTCAGAGACCCCACCAGTGCATGACTAGGGCCAGAGAGGGACACAGGAAGTTGGCCAGCTGGGGAGGGACCGCAGGAGGGCTCCAGGGCATGTCTGGACTATCTCACTCAGTCTTGCTCAAGCCTGATTGGCTGGACCCCAGCAGCAAGCTAACCTACCTGTCAGAGCATCTGCCCCCTGGTGCACATCATAGCGAGTGGTTGAGTGGCTTTAGCATATCATTAGCATATTACTCTTTGATTGGTTGAACAGATGACCGGGTGACTGGACAGTTAGCATATTAGGCTTTTATTATAGAGGATGGAAGCTGTTCGGGGAATACAGATACATGAGTGGAGACATTTTTGAGTCAGCCAGTATCTATGTAATTTCCGTGAATCCTTTTAGCAAAACCTTTTGTGTCTCTTGCTCAGCTGTTGATTGGTTAATAGTTTGCTCTTTTGAAGTTAGAAGGCAATTGTCTATTAAATACAAACCTCATACATTTATGTCCATGTGTGGTGTACAGAAAGAGAGATTTGATAATATACAGAGCTATAATATTTGCTAAAATGGTAATGAGTGACCCCAACTATGATTTTCTTACTGCATCATTGACATGAACTCTGTGAGCTTCTATAAAATGTAGATGGCGACACGCCGTGCAGGGGGAAGAAGTGCGTACTATGCTGCCTGGCCCTCATGACCACTACGCCAGTCCTAGTTATGTCACTACTATTTACATTTACTGGCACTTTAATGACCAAAGGTGATGGCATCTCCCATGGCTTGGCCAATTCTTGTGTTTCTTTATCACTCAAGGTTACATCTACTGCACAGCCATCCCTGTACCATGTGCAGTTAGCAGCTTGGGCCTATTTAGAGATGGATTTGCACTTACCACTCTACCCTCCACCTCCAGGGGCACAGAGGTTCAAGTTCAGAGCACAGCCAGTGAGCGGAGAGAAGAGAATAATGCCGACTGGCTCGCCCACGAGCTGACCAGCGCTTTACTCATTACCTGAGCCAACTTGGGTGACTAATTTCGATAAAGAGAGAAATGACACTCAAAATATTCCACAGGTAAGGAAAAAATAAGCACTTTTATTTCCTTGGCTAGCCTTCGATAAACATTTATTGCATGTTGCAAGTATAAATCCTTGTTTTGAAACATTTTGCTTTGCATTAAGTTCTGCCTTTGATCAAGAACTCGTGGCGTATTAATGAGGCCTGGAGCTGCTGTTGCTAGATGAGTAAACTCCTCCTTGGTCAGAATTAAGACCAGTGCCATCTTCTATAAGGTTTTGGGGAAAAACAACTACAGCCAATGATTAAAAGGCAGCACCACTTTTAAAGATAAAAGTTTAGCATTAGCTTCGAAGTTCTGTAATTTAAAATGGAAAGTTTGTGGAGCTACAGGGAAGCAGGGTAAACCTCAGTTACAAAATAACAGGTTTCACATGTTAAAAATATCAATCATTGAACCCCAGTGAACCAGTTCTAACCCATTGCCTCTGATGTCTGGGTCTGCAACTCAGGTAAAGCCAGGACTTACAGGAAATAAGTCATATCCTTAATACTAATTACCCAACTTTGCCACATATTGCTCTCTGACCCTGTAATTTCACATTTCTATTCCATCCAAGTGACTGAGTTCCACGTTGGTTTCTATCTGAAGAGGGCAGGAGCACTTACAGACTATACTGCATTGCAGCTTGTCATCTATGTAATAACCACGCATCACTTATCTAATTGTTATGGCCCAGAAAAATATGCTTTTCCTACTCATCTGGGGTCTGTTTGCAATAGTATAACTCCTGTTTTAAGTTAGACTGAGTTTAATTCCAATATTATCTCACTTCTGTATATCAAAAGCATGCCTTGCAGCCTGGCAGGTAATAAATTGGTATTGTTAAAACCTGTCAATCATATCAGAATACATTCTCCTACTCAGCCGTCGTCAGCTTGATGCATGGTAGATAGTTTATCAAATGTCCATGTGGATCCTTTCGCTTGGAGCGTGGTAACTGAGCCTATAGAATGATGCAACTCCATCTCTGGCTAAAGTGATGGCATTTTTGTACCTAGAATATAAAGAGGGTTTTCTGGGGGGTGAGGGCTTAGGTGATGAAACGCTTCACTGTGCAGTGCCAACTCCTTGCCCACCCTCCCCCGCCCCCCACCGGAGTGAGTTTAAAGTTGGGGTCTCTGGGTTCCAAAGCGGACTGCGCTCCAGGAAACGATTTAAACTGCCGCGGGGTGTGTATCCTTCTATTCAGAGCGCAGGACAAAGATAAATAAATTGGACTCCCAGAGGTTTCCTTTTAGAAAACCAGTGGATTTTTACCACGAGCGATCAGACATCTGCTCCCACTCATGATGGATGTGGGGCAGCCCCTGGCTTCCTCCTGGGGCCTGCAGTACTTTTGGGGGACTTCTCTGGCTACTCCGGCACACCCCACATTCATTTTCAGTTTTTAACTAAAATCTTCCCAATGTTTACTAAGTATAACGTGGAGTTTTTGTTCCATAACTATTCATGCTCCTCACACAGACCTCTTCTCACATAAACAGTGAGGACGGGCCCATGAGCACGGCCGTCAAAGGGCCAACTGTGTCAGGTGGATCACTCTCAGGTGTTGGTCTCCTTCCCCGCAGCTCTACAGCACTGTGTTTTGGTTTTGTTGTTGTTGTTATTAATCCTCACCCGAGGGTATTTTTCCATTGATTTTTTTTTTTTTTTCCGAAAGAGTGGAAGGGAGGGGGAGAGACCCTGAGAGAGAAACATGGATGTGAGAGAGACACATAGAGCAGTTGCTTCCCACACATGCCCCCACCAGGGCCGGGGACCGAGTCTGCAACTGAGGCACATGCCCTTGACCGGAAACAGACCTGGGACCCTTCAGTCCTCATGTGATGCTCTATCCACTGAGCCAAATCAGCTAGGGCCAAAACTATGTTTTATTGTAAGTTGTGTTGTCACTTTTGCGTTTGTGAGCTTGTGTTTTGTGCCTGGTTTATGAAGAGCTCTTGGGTGGAGAAATTAGATTCTGTTCTCCTGGATTAGGAACATGGTATTTTGAAACACTTATGAACTGAATCATGTTAATAGATTGCGATGTGTCTAGATTACGTAAAGATCTGCTTTCATTTCCCCCTTACACGTGTGTGCATGCATGAGCACACTACAGTTATATCGACGATCTTACCCTGATCAGCTGCTCAGTAAGAATGGAGCTGCGCGGCAATTCTGGGAGACTCTTAGCTCAGGAAAACCGGTGTAGTTAAATGAACGAAGATAGAGGGACAGGTGGCCTGAACTAGAGATAGAAAGATGATGTTTGCATGTGCAGGCGTGGGTCTTGGGTGGCTCTTGAGGTGGTACAGCATTTGGATAAAGGCACTTTTATCCAACCCAGGGCTATTTCCAAAGCCCTGTCACCAGAGTTATGTTCTTGTCAAAGATACAAAAATGGTGATCAATGTTGGCTAAATACTTCCTCTGACAGGCCTGGAGGTTGGTGCTTCTCCTTGTGTTAGTATTTCCACTGTAGATTAATGAAGCTAATTATATCATATTACAGTTTTAGGCTACTGTTTATTGATTGATTGGTTTATAATGTGCTGACTTTCTGAATACATTTAAAAGGATAAGTAGTCCTTTCAATGCAGAGGAAAAAAAAGACATTGCTCTAGCACTAGGCTACTGTTTAGACTCCACAGGGGTTCAGTCAAATCAAGATCAGTCGAGAGGGAAGGAAAGAAACAACAACCGGATGAAGGAAGCACCAGCCCCACCAAGGAAATCCGAGTCAGCATGCGGTGTGTTTGAGGAAAATGATCATCACAGAAGGTTACACATTGAATGGGAAAAAGGAAAGCACAGAACCTTGGTCTGATGGTGAAGAAGCTTCAGTCCAAGCACCTTCTACAGTTTAAGCCTATTCCTAGGTATGCCACCTGTCTTCTTACCACAATTTTAAAAAGTATAGACATTTTCTCAAAAATTCTCCTTAACTGAATTAATAAATTTTAAAAAGATATTATATATCCTTAGGCATAGAAGCTAATGCTGCTTAGAGTTGGTAAGTGACTTTGCTATCCTATAAAAACTGCCCTCCCCCACTGTCCCTCCGCCTGCCCACTAAATGGATACCTAACCTGAGACTCAATAATGATGTTCTTGCTCAGCATTGTGGGTAATTGATCCAGGGGATTTGGAAATTGCCGGTGTTAACCAAGGAGCGGACAGGAGAACCAAGGAGAGGACAGGAGAGCCATGTTCAGCTGGGCACGCTGAGTCTGTGGCAGACCTGTAGAAGCTGTACCCCAAGCAACACCTCCAGGTTCTTTCTGTAAAGTTGTGTAGAATATTTAAAAATGCTGTTGATGTCATGTCTGTGTGTGTATGTATTATTTAAGGTGACACACTTGAGGGGAGTTTAAATTTTACTGCTTTATCAAACAGATGTGGAACTTTAAATCCATCGCTCTGACAAGTAAGATAGCAACAGTACTGTCTGTCTTCAGTAACAATTTCTGCACCCCACCTCCACCTCCATCCTCACCTCTCTGGGTAACCATACCTACACAGACCAAGGATGCGTCTAATGAGTTGTGAAAGTTGTTTCTTTTGGAAACTGGGCTCTGCTCACCGTAGAATAATTAAGTAATCACTGCTATCGTGTGAATCCAGCCTAAAACAGCAATGTTTGGGTCCATATGGGAACAATTTGGCATGGGAGATAATTGCTGAGAGTATAAATGTAGTTTAATTCTTTGGCAAGTAGTAACGACATCAGAGACAGTTACCAATTGTCACTCTAATTGCCTGATAGTGTTTATTAAGCACCCACTGACCACAAGCCTTGGGGTGTGGATTGTTACAACTGGAGTGGGCATGACCTTGTCCTCCAGGCACCTGTAAGAGAGGACAGATGCAGAACATATGCACACACTGAACATTTCTCAGTCCTCCTGGTTTTCAAACATGGCTTTGCTTGCTCCCACATACTCCTGGGCAAATCACTGTAGACAACATGAGCTCTAGGACGAAACAGGACAGATACTGAAAAAAGAAAAATGAAATTGGACCACTTTTTTACACAACAGTAAACTCAAAATGGGTAAAGACTTAAATGTAAGACCTCAAACCATAAAATTCCCAGAATAAAACACAGGCAGTAAACTCTCTGACATCACTCTTAGCAACATCTTCTTGGCTGTGTCTCCTCAGGAAAGGAAAACACAAGAAACAATAAACGAAAAGTTTTTGCATAGCAAAGGGAACTATTAACAAAACAAAAAGAAAATCTACTGAATGGGAAGAGATATTTACAAATGATACATCTGTGAGGAGTTAATATCCAAAATATATAAGGCATTTATACAACCTTATGCCAAAATAACAATCTCATTAAAATGGGAAGAGGACCTGAATAGACATTTCTCCAGAAAGGACATACAGATTATTAACAGACGTATAAAAAGATGCTTAATATCACCAGTCACCAGGGAAATGCAAATTCAAACCACAATGAGTTATCACCTCACACCTGTCAGAATGGCCATCATTATTAAATCAGGAGACAACACGTACTGGTGGGGATGTACTGGTAGAGAAAAAGAAGCCCTCGTGCACTGTTGGTGGGATTGTAAGTTAGTGCAGCTGCCATGAAAAGCCATATGGATATTTCTCAAAAAACTAAAAAAAGAGCTGCCGTATGATCCAATAATTTCACTTTGGGGTATTTACCCAAAGAAAACAAAAACATTAATTTGAAAAGATACATGCACCCCTATGTTCATTGCAGCATTAATAGTAATAGCTAAGATATGGAAGCAATCTAGATGAATAGATGAATAAAGAAGATGTGATATATATAATGAAATATTATTCAGTGATAAAAAGAATGAAATCTTGCCATTTGCACCAACATGGATGGACCTAGAGGGCATTATGCAAAGTGAAATAAGTCAGATAGAGAAAGAAAAACACCATATGATTTCACTTATATGTGGAATCAAAACAAAACAAACAAATAAACAAAACAAAATAGAAACAGACTCCTATATA